ACAATGAAATTTTTTTATTATTATGTTTTTTTTAACAAAAATACAAACAAATTGAAGAAAAGGGAAGAACATTGATGTCAAACGAACATGCATCCTCATTCTTCGTGACTTTTTGGCGAAATCTACGTCTTTTAGTCTCAAAACAACATGTGGCCTTTTTATTATGTATTGCGTTATGACGTTTAGTGAAAAATCTGTACGTGATGGAGAAAAATTGATATCATTTCCGGATTCAGCGTACAGGAATTACAGTAGAACATGCAAAAATTTCAAGAAAATAAAACCATCGGAGGCCTGTGTTATTTGTTATAAAATAAGATAAGAAATTTCCTTTACTTTCTTCCTAATATATGCAATGCTGCTCGAAATAAAAGGTGTGTGTAAAAAAAGCTATAAAAAATAGCATTTCAGATCTATATTTTGTTTCCCACTTCATTATTATAAAGTCTATAAAAATATATCTAAATTTAAATTAAATATAAATACGTTATCTGTATTTTTTTAAACACGCTACTTGCTAGTCTCGTTTTGAACAACCTACAGGTGTATTTTGTAGCAACACATTTTGATGGTAGTACTCACTATACTGAGTAAATTTGTAGTTAAAAATCACTATTTTTCTCCCAGCAGTTTGAGTAGGGTAAAAAATGTAGAGAACGTTCCTACCAAATTTGGTGAGAAATCTGTTGATTTTTCATTGAAGGGAATGAATCCGAACGTTCCTACCAAATTTGGTGAGAAACCTGTTGATTTTTCATTGAAAGGAATGAGTCCGCTAAGTTTGTGAGGTTTTGCTTGTTTTGTTGTTAAACATAAAGCTACACAATAGGTTATCCGTGTTTTGCCCACAACGGGTATCGAAACCGCTTAGCCACTGGGGCTGAAGTTTTGCATAAATAAATAATACTGGATGCGTTAAATCGGTCTTCTGACAAATACTCCAAACCGACCATCTATAGACTTTTACAAGTAATGGCATCCCACTCTTCAGAAATGTTCATGTTACGTCGTGTGGGCAAAGAACAAGTCTTTCTACTTCCGCCAACTGACAAGTAAGTACGATACAATGTCAATCTAATTACGTCTAGAACTTATTTAAACACAGCCGTTTGTCAACAAACAGAATGCTCAGTTTAAGTGCTCTTGAAATACTGATGAGACAAAATGGACGAGTTAAAGTGTGGTCCAAAATTATTTCAACTAGATCTGGAGTTTTCAATATAATAACCAAGTACTTCATTATTTATAGTAATATATACCATCATACAAAAAAAATACAAATTGTAATACCAAATCCCAGAATTTTTAGACAACCTTTCTTTTAAGTTATTCGTATTTCATAGCAAAAGTAACTTAGAAAATATATGATCTGGTCTAAGTTTGTAAGGAAATAAAACTGACAAAACTGAACAATGAATATCGTGAATTCGTTGTTCGAATGTTAGTGCTACAGTTCATTCTCTTGTAGCAATTGATTTATAAAATAACTGATTATATATATATATATATATATTTCTTTACCTATAGAGTTTAGGTTAACAAATTGATAGGCATTCTACTTTCACGTTAAATCTGATGTCAGATCGAACTTTTTAAACTTTAATACTAGTATTAATAGAGATGTAGGTTGACATTTATTATTTTTTGGAAAATGTACATTACACGTCACTACGAGTTATTTATTTTGTACGATATAATGTTATCTGTTAATAAAAATAAGACACCATCGCATTCTATTAAGAAAAATGTATTTTTCACTTACATTACAAGTCTAAGTTTTACGTATATAGTTATATTTTATTCTTAATTGATGAAAAGCGACCCGAACTTTAGATTTATGTTTTGAAATCCATTATATTTAATTGGATATGGTATTAGAATATATCTTGATGATTGGATTTTTTGAAACAAAAGAAGAACACTGCTCTCCACCAGGAATTACATCCATTTACGCAAAATACGTTTCGCCGAGTTGAGATGCCATTTTCTTACTAAAGCACTTTGGTTAAGTCTATTTCTCAGAGATCGTGAGGGAATTAGTTACCTTGAAATAATAGACAATCAGATTCAGAATCTGATGTACATAATTAGAAAATTAGTTACTTACATCTAACGGCTTGTTCGTTCTACATCTACATTGGCTTTATTGCTTGTCTTCCTTTCTATTTCGGGGAGCAGGTTGGCCCAGTGATACAGTTTTTTGTTTATTTGTTGTTAAGCACAAAGCTACATAATGAGCTATCCGTGCTCTGCCCATCACGGGTATCGAAACCCGATTTTTAGTGTTATAACTCAGTAAGATACCACAAAATATTCCCCGCATTTTAAGCTGTCGGCGCATTATAAGAGTGACATTCAGTCATTTAACGTGGTGCTTTTGACTAGCTGCTCAGTAGTTCAAAATTGTAGTCGGCGGTAGAAAGCCTTAGTAGCTTTGCTATAAATACAAAAATACACATACAAGTAAGTCATCTCTATTTATTTATGTATCCGATTCTGTCTGTCCTAATACGCTGAAGAGAGGGAAAAGAATGCTAAATATTTACTCAAAACTGAGGAGAATATTTCTTGCTACAGAAAATCTTCCGCGTCATGTATCTCTTTTTTATTATGTGAAAATAAACACACTTTCAATTTAACGTTATCCAGAAGTCATCATATCATTACTACTGGATAACATGTGTCTGGTAAATTTTATATATCAACCATGATTGGCTCAGTACTTACCAAAACGGCATATAACAGGATGGTCCCAAGGTTGTTAAAAAAGGCACGATCATGAAGGGAGTAAGCAGACTCTAAGACAATACTGAAAAATAAAAATAAAGTTTAAGTTTGAATATCTTAACCTGAAATCAGTGAGAAATATCAGAAGTTATTGTGGTCTGAAAATTACGTAACATTTTTGCATTGCTGGACATATTCGATAAATCATTAACGACCTTCAACTTAAAAAAAATAACTATTTAACACTTGCCAGCCCAGCATCTTTTACTACTTAACCTAGGATGGTCAAAGGAAATCGGTGATTTAGGGTTATTTCAATAGATCTCGATGAATGTAGCTTGACACAACTTCTAAAATGAAAATGAAACTATATATTAATGAAAATATAACATAATGAAATCTATATGGATTATACTATGGTGGTACCATACTGGGCAATATACCATCCTTCTTATATTTACCCTTCATTGCAGAAATGACATTTGAAATTTGAGAATCACTAGGGAACTAATTTATAATACTAATAATGGCTGGAGACGGCTTAAATGGGTAATGAATAAAAACTTTAATATAAGTTTAACATGACAGCAAATGTACAACG